TGAAGAAAGGCTGAGAGAGTTGGGGTTGTTCAGCCTAGAGAAGAGAAGCCTTTGGGGAGACCTTATTGCAGCCTATCAGTACTTAAAGGGGGCTTATAAAAAAGATGGGGGCAGACTTTTTAGCAGGGCCTGTTGCGACAGGACAAGGGGCAATGGTTTTAAACTAAAGGGGGGTAGATTTAGACTAGATATAAGGAAGAAATTTTTTACACTGAGGGTGGTGAAGCACTGGAACAAGTTGCCCAGCGAGGTGGTAGATGCCCCATCCCTGGAAACATTCAAGGTCAGGTTGGACAGGGCTCTGAGCAACCTGATCTAGTTGAAGATGTCCCTGCCCACAGCAGGGCGATTGGACTAGATGACCTTTAGAATCATAGAATAGGTTGGAAGGGACCTCTATGTGTGACAGTTGAAATGAATTATTTTTACTCTCGGGTAATTTTCACCAGCACACCATAATTCCTGTTTACATCTTTAGCTGGTTTTTTACAATATTGTTTTGCTACTTTATCCCAGTTCTTGCTAATAGATGGAATTTATGTTTAGCTTTGTCTGAACTGACAGCATGTGCTCATTCAGATCCTTAATGTGCCTTTTTTTTAATAGGCTTTAAAAGACAATGTGTGCTCCAATAGCAGTGGAATATGCACAGTGAAATTAGGAAAATGCTTCTCATGACTCTTGATTTCCAACAAGATGCACAAAAGGTTTTGGCAAAGGAGACTATTATACACACCATATGATGAAAGTTAACAAAATCTTAATGGATGTTGTTTTTGAAGACCAAAACCAGTTCTGTATTTTCAGTCCCTGTTGTCACAAGACACCAAGAAAGATGACTTCTTAGAAAAAGATGGATGCGGAGGAGGAGGATGTTCTGCTAATTTCTGATATGCGATTGGGAACCTTAGGAGCATAGCTATGTAATAACAGAAATTGATTATCACTTAATATATTTTCATTGGAGTTTTACAGCAAAATAGCTTCCCAGTGTTCCAAAAGTAATTCTCTTGTCACCACAGTGACTTTAAAATGGTTCAGTGGTCTCTGTATGCAATGCATAAACTTTGGGATCCTGAGGACATTCCTTCCTTTACGTTTCCCCTGCCCCAGTGGTAGATTACACTGACATCTTATCTCCCCTGATGCTACAGCCAGCAACTGTTCATTTTAAGTGTTCATTGTTTTGCAAAAAGTAAAACAAATGCATTACGGAATGAGGGCATAACTAGTAAGTTTTACTAGTTTTTTGTTTCAGAGGCCCATTGCTTATATTGTCTTTTGTTTTTAATTAGGTAATTGCAAAGTGCTTAGAGATTATAGAACAGCAGAAGTACCAGGTCATATCTCCGTGTCAATATCCTGTCATCAGAATGTGACTGCAGCCATTTTCAAGTGATCAGCCTTTTAAAGTTAGCACCGTGTACTAGAAATCTTTAATGTCAATGATTTTCTAATACTTTGATACCATTAAAAACATTACCATTGCAGACAAACAAGAATCCTGGATTTTAAGTCTATTGGCAATAAGTTGTATTTTGAACCGTAGCCTCTTACTACATTAGTTGAAAACTTATTTTGTGAAAAGGAAGGATTAAGCTGAGAGTCTAGAGCACACTAAGGAAGCAAATTAATCCCAAGCCGTAACAATTGCTTGATTTTTTTCATATTCACGTCTTAGTATGAAATCCAGAACTCAAGAAACTGCACTTTGACAAAAGAAATGGGAAAGAGAAAACACATAAGCTAGCGTGTGCAATTTTCAGCCGCAGTAAAGGACGAAATGCTGCCTGCCACACAGTCTTGGGCCTGCCAGTTCAGATTTCCAAAGCAGCTATGGAAAGGCTCCACTCGGATTGCTCTGAGGATACTAAAGGAGTGACCAGGAAGTGATTTAAATCTGTAACACTTCAGTATAGGCTAAAAATTACCTCTTCTCAAGGCATGTAACAGAGCACAGAGACTGGTCTACATGTTTCCATGTGTACAGGTACTGCGTTTACACTGTGCTGTTTCATGCATCTTTAACTCTGCCACAGCTGCAAAGTTTAGTTTTGTAAAACCAAAAAACTCCCCACCATCCCAAACTTGTGTTGTTTTAACTGTATAGTTCTTACACCCTTTGGCATAATTTCAAGATGTACAGTGCTATTTGAAAAATACCTGGTTAAGTATTTTGAAGAATCATCAACAAAACTGAAATGCTCAATCTTAATTAAGTAGCCATACAAAGAAAAAGGCTACTAGGAAGAAAATTAACTCTATCCCAGCTGAAACCAGGACAGTGATGTTGAAGGAGTTTAGGTCATCTGAGTGCTTGTAAAAGGAGACTGCACCTTTTCAGAGCTGGAAGAAACCTAATGCGACGTGTTGCAGGCAGTGGTCATGCTCTTTTGAAGAGTCCGTGGAACGTCACGGGAATGTTCACCTCCACTTCAGCCCTGGCAACCTCGCTCATGTCTTTGGCATTCAGGATCAGGAGGTAGGCGGGCTTCAGCCCTGTGCCTGGGCTGATCACGATGCTCAGCACAACCCCTAGTAGGCAAGGAAAACAAGAAGCCTGTCCCAGGTGTGCACTTGCCGTACCCTTCCCTTGGGCTGGTCGAGGTAAGAGTAGCCACTCGCACACAGGACACCAGTAAATCCTGTTATTATTGCATGATCGTCAGTTCTGAAGTAGACAGATTATTTCTCACACCATTTTGGATTCTTGCCGTCGTCAGCTTGCCAGCGGGGGGTGCTGTGGCACAGTAGCTCCTATAGAGTTTCTTTTTAAAACTGAAAAGTGTTTTTATGCTGAAAAGGAACTATGAAAAGCTATTGCAGGGGCTGACGACAAATGTCACTTACTGGAATATATATCAAATTTGTCCATTAATTTTTTCAACATTATGAATTACTTTATAAACTTATAAATTACTTTACAATTCTGCTTCTGAGGTTTAACGTGACGAGATACCCATTTCTGGATCCTGGCATCCCTGTGTGGAATGGATGGGACGTCCTAGCTCTTAGGTTGTTTGTTCATTTGTGTACTCTGTGGGTCAGTCATTGCAGGAGAACGTGGGAACAACCATACACCATAGTCCGTGACAGCATCAAACACAGCCTTGGGGAAGATGACAGAAACGTGAGCATGGAGCCCGGTGTTAACTCAGCTTTCGGTGAGTGCTTCTGCAGGGGCTTAAGTCCCAGGAAGTGAGAGAGACTTAAACATATCCCTAAAATGCATGTTGTCTACTTCAATTAAAGAAAGCTTCTAAGAACAAGCTTCAAACCTTTTCATTTCAGTGGGACTTAAGCCCCTGCATAAGCACTTTCCTGAACTGGGAACAGATAATAAGAAATTTCACTCTGAAATATGAAATATTTGGCTATGACATACAAAACTCTCACTATAAACCAGTGAGACTTGGCTCTTAAATTCAGCAGAGCCAAGATTTCTCCTAGCTTCATGTAATCCTTTTTGGAGATGAGGAATTCAGGGAATAAGTGGACACCCTCTCAGGCTGAGTGCTGCCACTCACCTTCAAAAGTAGGTTCAGGGCTGGGGATGTGCGAAGAAACGCGTACAGTGCTTAGCATGAATACAACTATGTGTTCTTGAATGACAAAGCCTGTATTCACTACACTCCTGCACGAGGAGGATGGGTTAGGAGTAGAAAACACGCTTGGTTTAGGAGAGGTTTAAATTTTACAAAGTTCTGCCACCTGGAATTTCCTGATGGAAAAAGGCTAGGAAATGAGGACAACAGATCATCTAAACCTAGAGGTCTTTCTCCTCCTTTGTTTTCATTCAGTCTCAATTTTCCCACATTCTTCTCAGAAACTTCCCACCAGCGTTAGAACAAGGTACATCATGTCCGGGAGCTGCCTGTGGGCTCTGCTTGTGCCCGCCTCTGGCACAGCCTTGCAGGCAGCCCCCGCGGCCAGCAGACACAAGCTTTTCAAATCATGATGCCATTGACCAAAATAAAAATCACTGTTACCGTCATCTTCCTCTAGGGCATCCGGATTGGAAACAAAGATCGGCTCTGATGGGTACCCGTCTGGCTCCTGCCACACCCATGTCTCCTTTGTTTTAACATTCAGCTTGCAAAGCTAAAGGTGGGAAAAAAAACGAAAAACCCACATCTCAGAAATACTCTTTTTTTTGTCCTTAAACTGAAAGCTCATGCAAAAGATGTGCCTCACCCGTTCATTGATAGTTACCCTGTCTGGGACAAAGTGATTCAGCCCCAGCCCATACGCATACGTGTAAGGTTTCCCACCATATTTCTTGTAATTGATCTGTGGAAATTCAAAGGCTACAATAAAAAAAAATTATGCATGAGGATTAGTAGGATGCGGAGTGCAGGGGGTACTCGTGTTGCCACTGGCTGTGCTTCAGGGTCATCATCTTACCGTGGCGTGGCCCTGAGAAAATAACTTCTGGCTCCAGCCATATGGTCTCATCGCTGCGCAGGGTCGCCGTAGCTGTCGTGTAGGGCAGGGTGACCAAGTTCTTGCCCGTGTCAGCCTGGGACAAAGAAAAATACACAACAGAAATGCAGAAACAGATTTCTTAGTCTGTTTGCACAGATCCGTTGCAAACTGCATTGAACAGCGAAGGCAGCGATGTGCAGCAGAGCCTCATCAAGCTGCAGAATGGCAGTATGCTTCTTCCATTTTCTTAGCAATAGTGCAGTGAGAGTGCCTATTGCTAAAACCAGACCGTATGTCAGCCTTCACTGTGCTCATAAACACATGCATAACTTTTTTCCCCTCCTTAAGACATTCAGAGGTTTTAATTAAGCACTGCCACATGGGTTGCACTTTTTGCTTGATCAGCAACACAAGCAGGGGTGCCTGTGAGCTTTGCAGCTCTGCAAGCAGCTCGGCTGACCTGCATCCCCCCGGCAGCCCTTGGCCCACCTGCTGATGACCACAAGCGGGGTCGCTGGGAAAAAACCCCAGCAATTGCAAGCCAGAGCGCTTTGCACCAGGCTGGCCACTTAATGGGCCTCACACTGTGAGTTGGGGCTGGAGGATTTAACCACACGTGCTCAGGCTTGCAGCCGCTCCCTTCTCCGCTCCTGGCAGTGGCACCCTCCAGGATTAACTGCTGCCCCACAGTCTCTGCTCTGAACAGTAACGTATGAGAAATAAAACTGAGTAACATTGATCAGCTAAAGAAAATAAAAAGTTTCTCTAAAGACCCATACTTTAAGTCCTGCACCCCCATGAAAATGCTTAATTTGAATTAAATGGGGTCAGGCAGACCACTAATGATGCTCGGCCATAAGCCCTGCAGGGGAGTGGTGCAGATGCTGGCGCCTCCGAGCCCCGCTGGCAGCTGCAGTGGCACAGAGTCACGCTGGTACCTTGTCGATGTTCAGGGGCAGCACGTATCTGCGGGCTTCAGGCTGCGGGGCTTTCTCTGCCTGTTGCTTCACTTCATCCCAGTTTGCTCGTAAGTTGGCTAAGTAGAGGTAATTGTAAACAAACTCAAACCTGCACAAAAACAGGATCACAGACAGAAACAAAGATGTCATTTGCAAGTGAGGGGATTCAAATGCAGCTGTTTTTTTCTAAAATTCAATGGAGTGAGACGAGTCCCGGCCCAGCTCCTTGGCAGAAGCAAGCTGTGCGTGCGCATCGCTTCCCCTGTGAGGAAAACCCGGCAGCTGCTGGTTTTCGCCCTGAGTGCCCTGCAGCAGCGGCCAGAACCACCTCAGCTCAGGGCGCCCCGGCTATGCAGCCAACACGGGGTTGGGCAACACCATTTTGATGCCACATTTCTCTGTGTTAACACAAAAAGCAGCATTCGAACCTCAAGCAGATCCTGCTCATTGCAGCCCCAGGAACTGAAATATCATCAGCCCTTGGGTAGTCAATAATATTTATTAAAGATAAAGGGAAACGAGGTCTCAGAAAATGAGTTTCAAACAGGCTCTCTGCACCTCTGGGTAACTTCCACACTGTCTAGTCTGTGTGTCACCACATGTGAATATTTAGATGGGTTGGGGAGAGTCAGTGCAAGTGCCGCAGGCGATTCCAGTGGGGAAGGGATGTGCCAGCGCAGGGACCGGCATGTCTGGTGCTGGGGCTCTGCTGGCCCCCACCAGCTTGTGCAGGGGGAGGCACAATGCCACAGGGACCCTCGGCCACCTCCAGGCTCGGCACCGCCAAGACTCACCCCTTCCAGGTGCAGAGGTCGACAATCAGAAATCCATTATCTTCATAGGTGTTAATGTGATGGAAAAGGTTGAAGGCCGAGGTGCGGTATTTGATGTTCAGGAGCTTGCCTTTCTTCTCTGCCACATGAAGCCAGACCTGAAAAGCAAGCAGCTGCTTGGTGTAGGCTCAGAGAAATGAAAGTGAAACCGATACATGATGGGCCTCCCAGTCCAGGGCTGGCTGCCCAGTACAGCCCAGTTTGGTACGACCCACCGCTTACCCCCATGGTTTCGTTGGACTCGAAGCAGTCCATGTAGTTGGCTCCCCAAAGGCTCCAGGAGGAGAGGAACTTGAGGAGGTTGATTTTCACCGGTGTTTCAACAAACACTATGTAGTTTGAGGTCAGCCCAAAGCTGTTTGGAAATGTACGGGGAGCACATCAAGCTCACTGTAGTTAGTTTGGACAAAAACCACGTAGTAGTTTGACTTAAGCGCTGAATATAGCACGCAGATCATCACTTAAAATAACAGGAATATAAACATCCTGATTTTGGTAAGTCTCCTAATTTTAGTTGCTGATTACATGCAAGAACAAGCCCTGCGTGTCACTTCTGTAGAGCATGCAATGCCAGCGATGCTGTACAAACATACCCACCTTTGTGTGCTTGCAGAAATAAAAGGGGACTCTGTTAGCCTGCGCTCACTGCTCAGAGCAGCTGCTTTGCCGTGAGAACACGCTGTGTGGCACACGTGAGCAGCATCCCTCTTTTCAGCCGACCTGCATTGTCAGTCTACTGACCCCACGAAACGTTACCTGTGAACGTAAGAGGGCTTAAACCTGTCGCTGCAAGGGAACTGCACCACCACCTCTGACTTGTTCATCGGATCTTCCTTGTCTGGAAGAGGACAGTTGAAGGGTTATGGGGAGTTTCACCCATACTTACTTAGTCTGTATTTGTAGTGTTTACCCAACAAGTTTCTGCCTTTAACACAAAGGGAGTTCATGATTTAGAAACCATGTAAATAATTGTTTTAAAGATAACATTTCCGTTAATTAAAAAAGCGAATACAATCTAAAGAAGATCAAAAAAAAGCAACTTGATGATGAAACTCATTTGAAGGATAAAAAAAGTTATTTATGGGACAAGATTTTCTCAGTTCGCTCAGAGGTGGGATTAACTGACCTGCCTGAAGCGGAGGAATCCGTATGATGTTATAGGCAAGTGCAAAGTTTTTTCCAAAGCAATTGCCGATGTTGTAAACCGTCCCGTCGTTTTCAATGTGGGGATGAGCCGTTGCCCCATTGACAGACACATATTTACAGAGATCCACCTGGAGAAGAAGATGCAGAAAGTCAGGAGCTTTCTTGGCAGGAGATGAGAAGCTACCAGCTCTGCAAGGTGTTGCAGGTCAATACGTCCTTGCTTCAGATGTGGAAAGTTCTTCTCTAAGCCCAAATCACTATCTGTTTTGTGAAAAGAAGAACAGCAAAGCCAAGCAATTTGAGACGGTCAGGTGAGCTGACATAGTTACAGGGAGAGGTTCGGGATCCTGGGGTGCAAAAGGAAAGGCTCCACAGGCTGGACATTGGTAACACAGCAAAGAAAAACATCAACACACGCATTCTATGTTACATATTGTTCTACAGGCTGAATGTTGCTCAGCTCCGATGTAAATAAAGGGAGCAGTAAAGCTCTGGTGAGGAGCCCTCCGGTTACGGTCCCCTTTGGCCAGGCTGCAGTGTAGCTCCAGTTTGCAAACCCCAACCCAAGCACGAGGATACAGACCATGGACCCCCATCGCCTCCTAATTAAATATTACTCAGAGCAGCAGCAGTGGGTTCATTTACAAGCTTGTTCTGACTCTGCTCTCGCTAACCCTCACAGCTGGCTTCGTTTCTGGATCATCTTCCTGACAAACCCCAACTCTTGCCTTGTTGTAAGAGGCTGTTATTAAACATTTTCATTTTAGTTTTACTCCTCCACATATTTAGAAGCTCAGTATAAAGACCCACCTGCTTAATTGTCTCTAATGTATCTGGGTTAATTTTGGTTATAAAGTTGGTCTCAGTACACGCATAGTAATCTTCGCCGACGGGGTAGATGTTAACAAGGGCATTATCAGTGACCTCCACACCTTTGAAGTATGAAAAAAACCTGAGCAGAGAAAATGGACAGGCAGTCAGGGGCTTCTTGGAAGCGGAAGCACTGTAGGACATCGCTGCAATGTCTACAACCTCGAGGTACCTGGAAAAGATGTTCTTGCATGGGTCTGGGTACGCATAGGTGCCAAATTCTGTTATCACGATCCTTTTCTCAGTCATTGCTCTTACATAAGCATCAGTTCTGATAAACCTGGGTAGGGCGAGAAGGCACATTACAGGTATAGCTGTAAAACCGCAATGGGCTATGCAGTTAAAATACCAATATTCTTGTGATGAGCCTTGTGAGACCTCTGAAAGCTTGCAGGTCCCCGCAGCCTCACGTTGCATCTGGAGCACGTGAGGTCCAGCAACTGCCCCCCCCCCACTGTGGCACTGGGAAGGGATGGCTGGCGAAAAGCTGAAGCTGATGGGAAATACAGCGCTTTGTCTAAATGTTCAAACACCTGAAAGCTGATAGCTCGGCAGCTTCTAACTGAAAACACATTTCAGTTTTCAGACAACGTTGTAATTCTGTCACTGCCTGCAGCTACATCCAGCCCTCCCTCCCCTCCCAGATGTTTTGTAATCTGTACAAAAAGTTGCATTTCTGCTAACTACGAGTAAGTTTCAGTTATTTTCAGCTGCTTTTAGCGATGTCACTGTTAGAGCTCTTCCAATAACCGCATGGACTTGAAATAACCGGCACCTCCCACGTGCTGGGCAGCAGAGCACATCCTCAGTGCTTGCAGTTGAGCAAGTGCTTCATTATTTATGTTTTTTGTTTGAAAAATTGCCACATACCTTCGGTGATAGGTAACATGCCCCTCCTTGAAGTCGAACTTGTGGAGGAGCGCCTGACCATCAAAGAGGTGATAGAAGGGCTCTGCGCCCACCTCGAACAAGCCAGGACCACATCTCAGAAGGCTTCCTCGCAGCCAGGTGGGAATCCTGCCTGCGGAAGATGCAACATTGGTATGTGCACAGCCCATGGGCAAATCAGACCAAATAATTTTTATTGTGTCAACAAAAAGAACAAAAAGCTGCAAGCTATTTTTTTAACGTTTATTAAACTTGGTTTTTAAACATGCATGAGCTCTTTAAACTATGCTGTTTTCTTCACCTACACACCTACCGTAGACCAAGGTATTCAGTATTGAAAAGTCTAAAGATCCCCCATCCAATCTGTCCTTCCTCTACCCCAAAATACACCAGCCCTGTTAAGTCCTTTACCTCCGACCCTGTGCTCCAACCCTTGTAAAGCCTCCGAGCTCTGGTGGGCCATGAGCTCCCGAGAGCAAAAGCTGGGCAGGAGGAGATCAGGGAGCCCACACCAACCTGTGACGTGGGCGGTCACCGGAGAGGACAGTTCCTCCACAGTCTCAAAGAGCTTCTTGTAGCCTCCAGCGGGATGCTCGACTCTGAAAGGGCCAGCAGACCTGGGGTTACCCCGGTTTTGGGATAGCTTTGGAACCCGCCCCCTCAAGAGAGGGGGTTTTGTTTCTGGATGGACTGATCTGCAACTTGCAAATAACTTGAAAGATCAGGAGAGAGAAGCACCAGCCTTTGTGGGGGAAAAGGCTCTGGGGGCTCTGACCAGCTACTGCAGCCACTAGCAAACCGCCCAGACCCCGAGCCTGAGCGCGTGATGGAGGAATAGGGAATACCGATGGGACAGCCTGTGCCGCAGCACTGCAGGCACTCTCACCCAATGGACAAATTCAGGATATCCTGAATCATCAGGAAGCAAAATCCAACTTGTACCTCCCAGGTCTTGGATAAGCATTTTTTTTCCTTTTTTCTTTGAGTAAAGTGTACTTGAGTGTGTAGCTGAGAATTATTTGCTAGGTTCCAATTTTGACCTACTGCAGAGCCCATGAAGACAGGCCAGACAGGCTGTGCAGGGTACTGTCCTTCCCCTCCAAAGTACAGACCATCCTCTGGTACCTGGAGGTGATCCTGTCCCCCCAGACCAGAATCACGCCGCTGCATGGGATGTACCAGCACAGACACCCACACACACAGATTTCCCCCCCCCCTTCCTCCTCCCCTCCAGACTGCGCTGACCCCCAGCCTCACAGCAACCCCCCCCAGCCAACGCTACACCGCGATGGCAATCGGTGACTTGCTCCTACAGAGGAGCGCCCGCAGGAATACTCACTGGCTGTACATTCTCTCCCTGACAAAGGACCTGAGCCTCCGGCAGCCAAGTGCGCAGCGAGTGCTTTGCGC